TCATCCCATAATCAGGGTGGAAGAGAACTATGTGGGAGCTTGACTAGCTTCTAGTGATTTAAGCTATATCATTATTTCAAAGATGCTTCCATTGCTCGCTCTTGGGCTTAAATAAAAATCCCTGATAATCAGTCAGACATGATACAGTTGCTGCAATATTGCAACATCAGTGAGCAGCTTTGATTCAGAAACATAACAGTTGCAAGTACAATAAAATACTTACGGATTTATCCCAGTCCAAGGCAGAAATTTGTGCTCATTAGTGTAATTAATGTAAAACCTCATGATGATTCTGGGCATAGATAGTACTGTGTGATTCAGCAGTACTAAATTGTGGAATTGCTAAGAGACTTCATATTCAAACTGATCTGAATCAAATAATCCAAGTCTACTTCACTTCCTCAGCAGTTTCCCACCATCATTCCAGATTTTCTTCTTGCAGGATTCCTTGCACATACCTTCAACTCATTGTGACTGAAAGAGTCTGCTCCATCACGGCCACTAGTAATGAAGCAAGCAGCAAAACAGCAAACAACAAAAGCTATGAATATCACATGGGTTAAAGAGCAACTCAATCTCTGAATCCATTGTCACTGAAATTTCAGTAACTTTAGTAACAGCACACAAAAGCCTTAACCCACCTACCCATTCCCTGCTCTTCTAAAGATCTGTGAACAATTGCTTGACACGGATTGACTGCTTTTTGCCAGTTCAGGTTAGGAACTGCTCTTCAGCCATGTTTTACAGTAAAACAGCTGCTACCTGAAAACACTGAGTATAATACAGTAGCTGGTGTGAAAAACTCTTCATCGCCACTCTGGCTATTTGATGTCCTCCAGATTGAGGAAAATTTTCCACTGTTTTTCCATTACAGCTTCCTTGTATCGTGTGTGTGGGAGCAAACTGTCTTTGCACCCCTAATCTCACATGGAAAGCAGAACAACCGCCCATGTCGATTATGTGAGTTCTGTTCCTGAGTGACCAGGCTGGCACCGTGTTCCTTCAGTTTAAACATAACGGTATTGGACACATTTCAGACTCTTCATCAGAGTTCATGTGACGCATTAGTAACACATCCAGGATACTTACACTGTGTTGTACTGACTTTAGTTTAACATATTGGGCTCAGTTAATTTAATTTGTTTGTTGTGCCCTTCTGTCAACGATGAATGGGGTAGAAAAAGAGAAAATTGTTAATTTAAAATTCTGCACTTCTGAAATGATGAAGAAATCCAATCCTTTCTCTCCCATACAAGACTGTGGTGTCCCAAGACTGAGAGTGAGAACCCTGCCTTAATGAGGCTTTAAAGAGAGGTCAGGGAACTGATGAGATAAATCTGAGAACCAGAGAAAAAGGCAAAAGTCAGACCAAACAATATCAACAAGAAAAATGAAAACAGACATCAAATGATGCCTAATGCATGTGTGGACTCAATACAGAATAACCAATACGGCACCCATTGCCCCCACTGGGTATTGGAACTAGATGACCTTTAAGGTCTTTTCCAACCCAAACCGTTCTGTGATTCCACTCACCCAAAATTTCCATTGTCTAATAAAAAAGATTACAGACTGCATGTGATACAGATAAAAAGTTCAATGCCAAGCAGTACCTGCAACAAATACACTGCTTGATCACACATTAGTTCTCAGTTCAAGAACACAACACATTCCTAAGGTCTGTAAAATCTTTCATAACACTCTTCTTCCTGCTCAGAAACTTGATCCTTGCTGACTTAGAACACCTTCCTGTAGCTCACACGAGCTAATTTTAATTGAAAATTAAGCCTTACATTCCCCTCCAAATGAATAATTAAGTCATCATTTCATAATGAGGACTCAGACAGTGTCACTACATGACACAAAGGCAGGTTGGATACCCAAGTTAGTTAAAGAATAGTCCAGAATAACTTGATGTAGCAGAATGCTAACATTTGCCACCCATGACCAGACCTTATGCTGCATTGACACAGCAGCTGTTCTTGAGCTATACCATTATTACTGACATAGCGTTACACTCCATGAGAGATGAAGCCCAGGTGCCCGTGTCTAAAATTCAGACATCTAGCCAACTGAACGTACGTGGCATGCAGCTTAAACGTTGCAGTGCACATCACTGCAGTGTAACAGTTTCTAAAGGTCAGCACATAAAAACTAAGCTGCACATGCAGGTTTTTCCTACCCCATGCTAAACACATTACTTATTACAGACTCACACTACCCACTTGTTATCTTAGTGCCATGCAATCCAGAAAGCCAGGCTGCCACTGTCCAGACTATTTGAAATGTCTGAAAGAAGTGAAATAAACTGTGATAAAGCAAGCACATGAAAAGACTGTTGTATCCAGAAATGCTTTTCTGACCTGGGATGGTGAAAGGTGGTAGGGCTATACAGAATACATGTGAAGCCACCCCTGCTTCATTAATTACCTCAGACAGCAGCCAAAGCCTGATCCTATTTGTCCTGGAGTAAACTTCTGCCCTCTGTGCTACACCTCAAGGAATGTCAAGCACAGAGGTTCTGTGCTGCCTGGGGAGATCTTCCTCTGCATAAGTGAACTAAAGCCACGTGACATAAATGACAATAATCAGTGCTGACATCCATTTTTAAGCAGATGTTGCCAGATTGCCATACTTACACTTTTATTATCCCAGGGCATCACTTGTTCTCCGTGCTATGTTGCTTATTTGGACTAAATGTCAGTATCCACAGTTTCTGGAAACCTGTGAAAGGCTGGAGCTTGTTGTCTAAACATTCTCGAAATTCCTGAAATTCCAGTCCCAGGTATGTCCTGTTCTTGGCAGTTGTTTGGTTTTCGTTGGTTTTTTTTAAGTTACATCTGCTTTTCTGCTCAGAGTTGATTGACATGATTTCAGGCTTGAAACAGAACCAGACAGGGCTGGCAAGAAGAGGACAATCTGTGATGTGGGGAAACTAGTAAGATTTTTGCTGATATTTGGTAAATTAAGTGCAAATCTAAACCAAATTTATAACAAAACTTAAGCAAAACACGAGAATGAATCTTGAAGCACTCATTAAACAGTCAACACCAAACTTGCTTTAGACGTTGTGCTCCTGCATTTTTGCTATTAGTTTCTGGGCCCTTCCATTCTTTGCACTTTTAAATTTTGAATCACAGTACTTTAATTAAAATTTATAATAACAGCTTGAGCTAAAACTTTTATTCCACTCTCACATGAAAACAGAGCTGAAAGACACAAGCAAAGGATCTTCACCTTTAACAGGTGAATAAGCAATTGCTAAATCATGCTTTTCTAACTTGTTACTAATAGAACCAAACCTTTAAGTACTTTTAATTGTGTGATATCAGTATTTCTCCAATACATCTGCAAATAATATTGAGGGACTGGGTACCCCTCCTCTTCTCCCCCCAGGTTAGCAAGAGCAACCTTTCACTTTCTCCCGCTTGCAGATAATCTACTCTATTTTACTGAGGTTATTTTTTTCTAGAAAAGCCTTGCTCTTCCTCTGTGCTTCCTCAGCAGCAGGATGAAGTTGCTCTGAATAGCACATGACACAAAAAGTCTACCAGAATCCATGAACATAGTGTTAAAACCCATTTTGTTTTGCTGTCTATGATTATTCTAGTGAAAAGTATTTCTTGGTGCAGTATTGGTTCCAACGGCAAATATTTCAAACGTCTCACAGAAAACAACTGCTAATTATTTCTGTGGAAAAGAACTTCACACTGATAGCTTGGAAAGAGAGCCTAAATTCATTACATTATTAATGCTGAATGTAAGTGTTTATAGAAATAGTTCGGCTTAGGACAAACTGAAGATGTCTTTCCATTGATTCAACCACTCAGCAAGGAATAATTTCAACACTTCTGCCTTTGCCATATCCGTATAAATGGCAACAAAGCCAGTCTCTCCCATCCCACTGTACACGGTTATATTTTATTTAATGACCATAAACCTACACAGGTGTCTGAAACATAAAGGGATGAGTGAAGGAAATAAATTTATTTGTCTCTTAGAAACCTTTACATTTAGGTAACATACTTGCCATTAGAAAGAACTGGCAGATTACCAAGAGGCCCCGAGATGCTGACCTGCAGTGCTGTCCAGCCTCACGCGTTATCTTCCAACTCTACCTCATGAGTTGGAGAGACACAGAAAATCAATTTTGAAAGCAGAAGACTTGGACTTGTAGAATTCCATTTGCTGTCAGGAAGAAACAATTACGGTGATATCTGGAGATTCCAGGGAATAAAGGGTCAAGGCAAATAAATACATTTTTAACAATTTATTGATGAACAGCAAAAAATGCAGCTTTTGTTTATCATACTGCTGGATGTAGTATCAATTTGTACACGTATAAGTAAATTTTTGCACATGTTTTCAACATAATAGCCGCTGTTCTGCAAATAACTCAGGCATATTGTGTCACAGTCATGGAGATCACCCTGAGAAAGACTGAAGATTCAGAGCAGTGTGGTGGGAGCAGCAGAGGGAACTGAGGACTGTAGATCCAGCTACAACCACAGAGTGAATTGTCAGTGGCTACTTTGTGCTGAGCCATCTGCTGCCTTGACTACACTGCCAGCAATAGTTTAAAGATAGCTGGAGTGTGTCTGGTAAAAACTACACAAAGTGACAACTCCTATGCTCTTCGAGAAGAACAGGATCTGACTTGCATTATATAGTAAGCATTGCAGATGACCTTTTAATACATCTTCCTTGTCAGGAACAAGTTTTGTCACCAGGGAGCACACCATGCCCTGTGACCTGTATAACCAGAGGCTTGCAACACTTCTGTTCCATATCCTGATGGGCACATCCTGTAGTATTTTCTTCAAATGTCAGTCCTAAATCTGTATCGCAGGTAACTTATCAAAGCACGCAAATATTGTTGTTCATATTCTCTACCGGCCATCTATGTCATCAGTGCCTTTCTTTAGAGTAGATGGTGATACAGGAGATATATATACATATCTGTTATTTTCAGTTGAGAAGTGGTCTTGTAATGGGACAAATTACAGATCTGTAGATGGAGATTTGAAATGCTGCTCCACAGACTGCTTTCCATCTTCTAGAACTTTGGAAATGCGCTGCAAAAAAAACCAAACAAACAAATTAAAACAGCAGAGGAAGGGTGCCACATGTTAAAATGACTACTGTATTGGATTCAGTACTATGTATATTACTTTACCAGCTTGTGGCCAAAAGCTGTGGGTACAGAAAAAACAGATATTGGCCAAATTCTGGATATTTTGAATTTATTTCTCCATCCTGAAAAACCATAAACCTGTCCATATGATTCCAACCACGCCGTGAAGCCCTATACAAATGAATTTTTACTGTTATTCAGTCCTTTTTCAGACTTGTAAAAAAGGACATTTTGTCTCCCTTATTGTATAAGCTATTTAGGTTTAAATGAGAGTGGATGGCATCATGCTGAAAAGCTGTTACTTCTGGGTCTGAAAAGAACAAGTATGTGACAAATTGAATGTAAGTGAAATCCTATGGGCTTCAAATTAATAGGTTATTCTTATTCCTACCAGAAAAACATGATCATGAACGCATCTAAATGCAGATTTTCCTAAAGGCTGCTCTATCATCCCTGCAGGAACTGGTTTTTTTTTTTCAAAGACTGTAGAAACTAATAGAGGCAAATGAAACCTATTCACCAGAAAAAATATTTTAAAAGAATTTCAAAAATCAACCTTTGCTTTGGAAGATCAGCAAAGAGCTGATATAAAATATTACAATATTACATACACACAGAATGCATATGCAGTGTGCATATGTGAAAGTCAGTATCTGCATTCAGTGTAGATTATGTGCTTTCAAACACTACGTTAAATTAAATCGTTTTAATTTTGTGAAATTTCCACAGAAATCAGTGAAAGGTTTCCTACTTTAAAGGAAGGCAACATTAATGACTCCAGTGTAAGCCAAATAAGCGTGACATCAGAAATGGACTCACACTGTGCACGTTTTGCCATATATGTCATGCTTACCTTCCTCTGGTGCCAGTGCTAACTACCCAATGCAATTAAATCGAACAGTAAATAATTGCTTTCCTCTTTTGCTAATAAATGTTATAGAAAGCAAAGGAGAGAAAATCCGCCGGTCAAATGAGACCTCTGGTGGTACAGATGCGGAACTGCACATCTGGGGCTTCCTTTCCAACAGCGATTTACAGCTGTACTCCAGAAAGCCCAGCCAGGGACGAAGTTGTGCTTCCCCATAGAGCTTTCACTCCTCTCCATGATGACAGGAGGAAAAAAAAAAAAGAGTTTGACTTATAGCCTTATGGTATTTTAAATTTACTTAATTTTCAAAACACAGAATTTTGGAATTCGTAACACAGAACTTACCATTGTTTTAAATAACTGGTTCACTTTCTTTTTTTTGAAGGTTTTCTTGTCACCATCTGAGGTGGAAGGAAACACTGGTTGACTCAGCCTATGTGATGCAGTTGTTTCATCAGGCGCCACAAGGCTGACGGACAGAGTTACTCCTTGGAACAGAAACACACGGGTTGCACAAAACGAAACAAAAAAAGGAGAGTCCGTGTAAGATAAAGCAGAATTCAAAATAATGAAGGACTGCAGTTACTAGAAAAAAATGAGACGGTTCTAATCTAACTATATCTTTAGAATACAAAAACAAGTAAAGGGGAAGCACTAAACTTCATTCATTACATTGAAATTGAATAGTGAAAATAAACAACCAATCTGATCAAAAAAGAAAAAAAAGATAAATACATGAAAAAACTGGGCCATGACGATCTGTTGTGTTGTGCTAAACGTCTGTTACAAGCATCTGGAAAGTCAGGGGCAGCGAGAGGGACAGACGAAGGGCAGGCTAACAAATGTGATGAGCTATGGAAGAAGTAGGCGGTGAAGGGTATTGAAATAGGGCAGATTTTCTTCATATACCCTGGCCGAGAAATGAGATCCACCTTCAGTTACATCTTCCCCTTCTCTATCATGCAACTGTCAGTCTTTCTAGTGGGCAGTACGTTATCTTGTTCCCCTTCCTCTTCCTGTGAGGGAGACGTACGAGATTCCTCTCAAATGTCAAAAGCAGAAGTTGAAAGCCTGTCCACTATGGGGCACCCTTTGGGGACACTCATCGGCCAAAGTAAAGTGCAGAGCATTTCTTCCTGTTTCACACGCTGCCCTCAGCTGTGAGAGCAGATAGCAGAAGCCTTTGCTTCTGCAAGCAAGACCCTGCAAAGCAAGGCAGATGAATAAACCTTGCCTCTTTCAAGGCAGGGGGCATGCCCACACTATACAAGGAAGCAAAAGTCAGAGCTCCAGAAGCAACACTTCTAGAATTTGCATGTTATCACTCGGCAGCACAGCGTTACCAATCAGTAGTAGCAGTTCAGCCTCACGAGCACCATACACACTTAAATTGTAATTTAAGGGGATTGGACTAGATGATCTTTTGAGGTCCCTTCCAATCCCTAACGTTCTGTGATTCTGTGATTCTGTAATCTTTGTCTCAGAAGCATGGAGCCACACAGAGAGCGAGCTACCTGCTCTGCTTGGAGCAAACCTTTCATTGCTATCTTTCCTTAACACAGCAATAAAGAAGGGCAGAACTCCTATCTTACTGTAAGCAGCTTACCTGGGATAGTTGGCATAGAACGACTGACAGAACTCATCTGCTTGAGGACAGACGTTTTCCGAGGTGCCCCTACATGTTCTGAGAGGTTGGTGTCACTCATGAACTCATATTTCCTTGACAGCTGTTTAATAAAACAAACAAAAAAATTGTCATTAATGAAGAACCAAGATATAAGCAACGAAGTTCTAAGCAAAATAATATTTTGTGAAAAGCATAAAAGAAAATAATTAAAAAACAAAGTGTCCTGTCTAACCCGAGTTCTTTATGGGATTTGTTTGCCGAGTATACAATAGAAGTAACTAGAAGCAGTAAGACTGGATCCACATATAATACACACTGACTAAAACACACAACTATTTTGTAGATGATTTATAGTTACATAAAATCTCATTCCACATAGAAATACCATTACTCTAAAAAGGGTAGCTAGGAGAGAGTCTGTAGTCTGGAACTGTGGGATGGTCTTCCTACTGTATCTTTGGAATAAGACCATCAGCCAACTTTGTGATCTGCAATGTGAAGGAAGTTTTGAAAACATTTTTCCTATTGCATTAACACAGTTAGCTTGGCTGCCGCAAGGCTTGTCACAATTTTTCTGAAACCAAAGAAAATCGTGTTACTCAGTATGTACGACATTCCCACAGGCCTGTGTATGTCTTATCTAATTTAATCAACAGGCATTGCTTGTTTTTGTGTATTAATGCTTCTCAGAGCATAACTGTGCTTCGTATCTCTCTCTTTTGTATGATGACACGTGGTGTAAGACAATCATAATCCTCCATACGTTTCTCCTTATTTCCCAAAAGAATCTCAGCTTTCTACTGAATTCTCTTTGCCTTTGATGATTCCTCCAAAATCTTTTGATCAAATGATTTATGCTCTCTCCATTTAATTCAACAACCTGTTACTGCCTGACACTTTAATTTAGATATGGCTGGTGTATCAAGAGAACAGCTTTCAAAATTTTTAAAATTTTTTCTGTTTATACTAAAAGAAGAAAATCTCCTGAGAATTCAACTACAAAAAGAAAAAAAAAAAGCCAGTGATGGAAGCCATTCTAATGATGTAGCAGTGCAATAAAAGCACTCAGATGATGTATGGAGCGAGAGATGCCCGTGTTCCGAACTTCAGTCTGGCACCATTTAAGGAACACTGTTTGCAATCTTGCAATTTCCTAACAGCTGCACGTTCCGTAACAAGGTACAAAATGTACAGGGCTCATCACTTTTGAACAGCCCTGACCGCAAGGAGCTGCCGTGAAGTGTCAGCACAGTCAATTGCCTCTCCGCAGGAAAGCCAGATTAACCCTCCCAACATAGTACTCAATTTCAAGCTAAGCCAGCTTCAGAATTTGCGGCTTCAGGGCTATATTATTTGTCATCATAAACAAGTAGATTGATTTGTTTCTTCCTAAGCATCTTGCAGGTTTCATTCATGGCAGGACAAATTGTCTATGCATCCTGCATATTTCCATTTATGCCAGCTAGAGTTCTATGTGATGTATTTTTCTCTTCCTAAACAGAGGAGTGATGTCCTATTTTTTATGTATTATAAAATCCTACTCTAAGTCAGTAACATACACATTGCATGTCAGAGATAGATATCTCAGGACCCGTCTTCTCATCAGCAAACACCACACTGCTTCGTTTTGTTCTTTTTTTGGACCTTCTCATCTTTACTTCAGGGTGAGGATTAATTTGCAGAGCAGTCTCCTCTGATTCTGCTTTTACTGGCTTTGGTAGCGCTACTTCCAGATCAAAGCTGCAGGGGCAAAAGAAAACAGTACAAGTTGTTGAGTGATTTTTTAAAACCCATCGGTATTCTGATGTCATCTCCCCATGAAATATAAATGCAGGTCATCCTTTCCTTTGACTTTCTGTGCAGCCTTGCAAACTGTTTGCAAAAAGCATAAGATGTGCCTTCAGCTGGCAACTGTAGATACAACTAGGATGCCTCAGGAGACATCTTAAAATGTTGCAAAAAATGTAAAATATTAATACGAGTGCAAATTCCTTTTCCAGTTGTGTGCACTGGCTTAGGAACTCCTACACTAAACAGAGTCAGAGTTCATAGGGCAAGTTTATGCACGATGATGATGGTGCTGAAAGCAAGACATACTGTTTTGGCTGCTGAGAACAGCAGAACAGACTATTACTATTTATTCTCATGTTGTAAATACATTCTTCTATTTATTTCACCATAGTGGACAACGATGTACATACCCAGTGATAAAAAATACCAGTTCCCTCTTTCTCTTTCTCTAATCTATGTAGTTTAAAAATTGGCCTATTTTTTTAATATGAAAACTCCAAATATTAAATTGGTGCTGGGTTTACTCCCTTCTCTGCTGCTGTAGTTAGCCTACTGAACATGGGGCTGAACTTACTTTACAAGAAAAATTGTTGAAGCAAGCAGTACGATGAATCTGTTGACCCATGCTTCCTTAAAACAAATCAGCTTCATGAAAAGCAAAGTAGGTGCATTGTTCAGCTGTGTAAGTACATTTGTCTGGTTCCACAGGAGGCATGTGTCATGAGAGATACAGGGCTGGCAGATGTGTCACAAATCACCTTTGTGTGCTACACCCTTCTTGAGTGGAAGCTGAAGGGCAGGAAGAGCAGCCTAGGGCATCTCATAATGTGTGATACCACACATCTTTGTTAGACAACACAAAACATTTAATTAAGTACTGTTAAACAACAAACTGGCAGCCAAACATGCAAGAATAGAGGAGTGTGTTAAGAAGAAACACTGCCAGGTTAGGGCGATACACTTTTGGACTGTTTTACTGTTTAAAATTGAACTACTTGGAAAGGGAGATCAGATGTTTTTTTAACAAAAGACCAGTTTTATATATGCCTTCTTTGGAAAGATGTTCTATGTGCCCACAGGATAATTTAGAAAGTCATCAAACCAATTTGTGGATGAAGAAGCCAATCAATACACCTATAACTGTTCTCTCAAACTTAAAAGTCTTTATGTTGGACAGTGCTGCAGTTCAGAAAGCGTGTTAGGGAAAGCATTTTACATTACTACAGGCGTTACTAAAACATCCCACCTCCTCACTTGTAAGTTTGTAAAGGCTTTCTTCTTCCCCTCCAGTTTCTACATGCAAAAAAGATGCTAACTGAGTTAAAAGCTGTATGAAGAGAAATTGCAAGAACCCCAGATCTTTGTATTTTTGAAGGGTGACTTAAATTATCAAATATTTGTTTCCTGAAAATGAAATGCCACTTTTTTCAGTAAGACTTGGATATATTTAGTCTATTAAGGTTGAAATACTGTAGCTTTAAGCCTGGAGAAAGCGATAGCTACAGACAAAAATAGTTTTGGCGTAGTCTGAAGAGACTGCTAATGGTCTTCATCCTTGAATGTCTTTTTATTCTCTAAGATTTTACTGTCATCCCATAAAACTGTTTAGAAACCAGGACAGAAAGAAAATTTGTAATTCATTCATAACCAACCTTTCTGAAGCAATCTTGTTTGGAGTACTGCAGTCTGAATTCATGGAGGTCAGTGAAATAACTGATAACTGACGATAGGATCTCAGCATTGATCTTGGCCGTCCTACTCTCTTGTCATCGAAATCTGGCTAGAAGATGGAAAAGAGAAACACATTCTATCAACCAACCTTGCGTGTTTTTTACCCCTTTTCACTAGGTCTTGAAGATAGCACAGGTGATTTAATACTTGGCATGAAAGAAGTTATTTGCCACCATTAATTACTGTGATTGTTTGCTCTGGATACCCTCTAAGATCTCTCAAACTCAATGATACTGCAAGAAGCTAAATAAACTACGATCGATATAATTAACTTCATCTTTGAAAAATCAATTAAAATAAACAGTGTCTGCTGATCTTGTTTTGAAGAGAACTGGGGCATGCTGTCAAAGTACTTGGTTGGACAAACAAATTGAATGAGTCTCTGCTCCATTACACTAATCAGGCTGCATCTTCAATAGAACAACTTCTGTCATCTCTACACATCAATATAGCCTTTTAACATTATATGTTTGCAAATGTTGGAAAAAATTAGTATTTCCCTCATAGCCAGACAGCATGAACATGAGGATTCTCCAGGTCATCATGTGTCCATATTGCACAAAGCCGTATCTCCTGGACCATCGCTCTCTGCAAAGCATTAAGTTGATACGTTCTGCAAATGGAAGGAAAAAAAAAAGGAGATTTCCCTCCAAATCTTCTCAAAGAAGATTTAGCTTTCACAATGAAAATATTCAGCTTAACGCTGATGGTTATTTAGGCTTTACAAGCTGGCACAAAGTTAACTGAAACAACCTGACTGTTTTGCAAAAGCTTTCCTGTTTATCTTGTTCATGAGGTATGGACGAGGATCTCATTTCTTGGCTAATACTAGAACTGTTTTCTTTCTTAAGGGCTGACTTTTGGGATCTAAAATTGTACAGTGAAGTCAGCTCCTCTCTTTTTCCATTCATTTCCTGGGATGGGCACGCCTCCCTCTAGTTAGCTCATCACAGGGACCTGATATGAGGCAGGTTTTTGAGAATCTCCTGGTGTGTGCATACCATAAGCCTTTTTTTTTTTGTGAACATACATCCAATTCCTATCCTATAAACAGGATATGAACAACTTTTAAAAACATTTCATATTAAAGCACAGAGTTTTCTCCCAGAAAATATTAAAAAATTACACATAATTTCATATGCCAAATTCCCAGATACTTTGCTTCTGATGTCACTTCTCACTAAGACTTGAAGTCTAGCAGAAAACTTGAAAATGTCTATGGTTTCAAGAATTATTTTCAAGTGTTTTGCAGAGTCTGCACACTGCTCATTTTCTGAATGGCTACAACCTTGTGGTAAAGACACAATAGCTGCATAACTTTATTTTTCCTTTAGTTTTAATAAAAAAGCTCGGGCCAGCCATCAATGAGAGTCAGACATGGTAAAATGGCAATAATGCCAGTCACAAAGTGCATTATCTTCTCTTGCAAACTTTTAAATAGGTTGTTTTTTAGAAGTGCTGATCTGTGAGAGTGTGGCAGTGTTCAAGCATTAAGCAAGATTGCAGCCTCTATTATTGCAAGTATGGTGGCATGGGACTGAAAATAAGAAAAACCTCTTGAGATAAATGTATAGAATTTTCATCATATATGTTTGTAACAGCACAATATCAAAAATTTAGGTTAGAAACTTGCTCCTTTTTCCCTTGTAACAGAAGAAATAAATCCTCTTATAAAATCATCAACGCTGAAAGCAACTGGTGTTTAATCACAAAACCAGCCAACATTATTCTTGCTAGCCTGCACAAGCTCAGATAGATTATTTTATTCAAGAATTGTCTGGAGAGTTTGTGTTTAGAAGTTCTCCTTTAATTCCCATATATTTCCAGTTGGTCTCAACTAATATTTATAGTATTGTACACACAATAGGTTTTGCTTCACAACACAGCTGGAAGTGGCTGGCACAAGGAGACATCGGTTGCAGATCAAAGCCCTAAACTGCTAAGAAAAGTTACAAAATATTACAAAGAGGAGAAACGTGAGAATTTGCTTTTATTTCCTTAATAAGGCAGAAAAGAATTGCAATTTTAATAGACATAATAAAATACTCCAAATCTTTCAGAATAAGGAATATTTATATATCAGAGAACTGAATCAACTCTTTGACTATAAAACTCAGGTCCTACTACATTCAGATCACAGGAAAACCCACAAGCAACAGAAGTTTAGTATGTGGTTTTGTTTAGAAGAACAAGATGCGTATTATGTACAGAGAAATTGCAGAAAAGGTTAAAAGGAGAGCAGTACCAATTCTCTGGCTCCATATTGTTTTTCCACTTTAACTTTTAAATGCTTGAAACATTCCTCCATACGGTCATGGAAAGGACGAAGATTATCAGAAACTCTTCTTTCATGAATTTTAATTCCAGCCCCAAGGAAAGGTATCTTGAAAAATTAAAAAAAAAAAGAAAAAAAAAAAGAATGTTAAACTGGGTCTGACGGTCCCTCTGGCTCCATTTAAAGTACCTGCTAAGTTAACCGCAAAACTCCCACTGTGGCTGGCAGACAGATGTGTCCTTGATCTCAGCTTTTACATGCAACTACAGGATAGAAAGGACACTTGAGAAATGGGCGTGCTCAGTAGATTTCTGAAGAGTGCTGGCTACCTCATGGTGACTCTTTTCTCTCTTCTATGTATTCTACTATTAATCCCTTGTGAGATTAAACACACCGTGCGAGAGTTAAAAAAACTCTTTGACTACTGGTCCACCTTATGAAGGTGCCTGCCACAGTTACAAGAAGGAAGGCAGGGATGACAAAATATGCAAATAGGTTCCAGACAGGTGGTTTCAAACTCTTCTCTCTCCAAACAGAGGATTAAGTGACTGGGAAAGGTTTAAATCAATCCACTGGAAGCTTCGTCATGTTACCACGTGGACACTTGCTGTGACAATCTAGCGTGTTAATGCCTTGTTACTGAAGGTGATCTCTTCCTTTCTCCTTGATTAAATTTACTCTGTGGATTTCCTCTGTACTCCCTACATCTCAAGAAAAGTTCAGTAAGATAATGCTTCAATACAAAAATAAACCACTCAAGCCATGAGCAGAGGCAGCTTGCACTAACCAGACTGACTTTGCTCAAATTTACTCCTGTGCTTTTCTTTTTGCTCCTTTAGGCTGGGGTCAGTGACAAGTAACCAAAGGGGTTAAGATGTCTGGTTCTTCCTACTAGAGTTGAAAGGAGGTACATAATAGTTTTTAAAAACTGGGGACAGAGGGAGGAGAGGAAGTACAGACATATATTCCCTTAAAGGAGAACACCTGATAAAAAGGTTAGCAAAAGGTCTATCCTTTCACCCCTCTCCACTTCCATTTCTTAAAAAAAACCCTTCTCCATTGTTAGAAGGAATGGCTTGCTTACCAAAGTAATAATAACTAAAAAATGGTAGTAATACTGCCTTTCTAACCCCTCCTCCCTGCAATGCCTTCCTTTGCTATTATATTGGTACTATAATCTTTGCTGTTATATTCATGTAATCTATCCAGTTAAAAGCAAACAAATAAAATCTTATCTTCAAAGTTAATGGTCAGCACACTTTGAAATGCTGATTAATTAATAACAAACATATTCACAAAGAGAAACTTTGTATTGCTTCTCTTTAATATAAAGACATTTCAATACTTTTCAGTTTTTGAAGATGGTGATTTATGAGTTTTGTGCAACACATTTTACCTACCCTTCTGCCAGTAACCTTTTCTAACTGCGTTACCATTGACTTTTAGCTATTTTGCATTAATGTTTGGGCCTTTTTTTAATATCCACTTAAGATTCCACACTTCTTTTCTGTGTTCTGGACCTATAAATATTATTAATATTGCATACATCAGTCCACCTATTGAAATGATAATATTTGATGGAAGTTCCATTTCAATATAACTTTTGAAAACGTGGTATTAAAGCCCATTATTACAGACAGATGTTTGTCCTCCTCAGAGGGATTTACAGGGATAGATGTAAATTACCACTTTATTTCCTAATGCCAACTAGTATTATGGTCAACTGACATCATTACATCTACCGAGCACTTCTGATGGTCAGAAAGCAACCATATGTAGAGCCTGTGGAGGGCAATGATACAGGAGAAATCTGTACAGGTTGGTGACTCAAACTAATAACCAAACTAAGATGAATAAAAATGAAACAGGAAGAAACGTCAAACACAGTAAGAAAACAGTACCAAAAAATTCCATTAAAGCTATTTGGAAGATTCATTTCAAGACTGAGAGAGGAATAAATGGTAAATTCTTGCTGTTTCTCATCTATGAAACAGAGATAGCATCATTGAATAGTTTGGGTTGGGACCTTTAAAGGTCATCTAGTCCAACTCTTCTGCAATGAGCAGGGCTATCTTCAACCAGATCAGATTGCTCAGAGCCCTGGCCAACCTGACCTTGAATGTTTCCAGAGATGAGGCATCTACCACCCCTCTGGCAACCTGTTCCAGTATTGGACCACCCTCATCGTACAACAGTAGTTAAATCTAAAATTTAAATAGTACAAAAAAAACCCCAAATCACTCTATCTAGTCTAAATCTCCCCTCTTTCAGTTTAAACCCATTACCCCTTATCCTGTTGAAGCAGGCTCTACTAAAACGTCTGTCCTCATCTTTCTTATAGACCCCCTCTAAGTACTGAAAGGCTGCAACAAGCTCTCCTCAGAGCCTTCTCCAGGCTAAACAACCACAACTCGCAGCCTGTCCTCATAGCAGAGATGCCTCAGCCCTCTGTTCATTTTTGTGGCCTCCTCTGGCCATGCTCCAACAGGTCCACGTCTTCCCTGTGTTGAGGACCCCAGAGCTGGATGCAGCCACTGCAGGTGGGGTCTGAACAGAGAGCAGAGGGGCAGAACCACCTCTCTCGACCAGCTGGCCACACTTCTTTTGATGCGGCCCAGGGTACTGCAGCCTTCTCACAAAGAAAGCGTAAGATTAAATCAATGAGGAAGATTTTTTTAGTGGATTAGTTCAAAGAATGAGACATGAAGCATCATGAGAAATATCTCGAGCCATTAACTTCTGACAGTAATATACAGATTAACTCACACTATTTCTTAACATCCCTCTTGAAAGGGATATCACTCGATTATACCTTGATGCAGCAATTACTGCACCCATTCATTTACACAGCAAACAGTTCTTTCTTACGTAAAACTTCTAGATTTCAGAAGACTCAGCAGTTAGTGGTTTCTTAAACTACCTATGTGCAAATATGTGAGTCTCTTCTCTCATCGTGATATTGCCATATATTTCATTTTGCCATATATCAACGGCAAAAATTTCTACTTGGACTAGATAATTGCAAATAGAATTGATAATTTCTGAGGTCATGTTTTTCTTCTCTCCACTCTCACAACAAATGCTTATGTCAATGAAAACAGCCATCTTCCCTTAAATCTCAGCAAAAATATTTTTTCAGCTACCACCTCCCATGGGTGCATTTTCCTCTGAGGAAAAATGAATTCTGCAGATAGGTTCACTTATATGCACACTAAAAATAAATTTTAAAAAACTAAATCATTTCGGTGACTCTAGTATAGGCAGAATATTCAGATTTCCTCTGGAAATATAGCTTTAAAATACTTACTAAGTTTTCTATACTATTTGTGGCACAAAACACATGTACCAGCAATCTTCAAGGGTCATTGAGAATGAAAGCAACTCCTGTGAGCAACTCGTTTTCCATTAAGATTTCTGATCCTAAAAAACCCCTACAAACAACAACGACCACCCAATCTCTAGGAAAGAGTTATTTCCCAAGAGAATATCTGACATTTGCAGATGCTTGTTTTCCCAGCTATTAATGAAGTCCATATGACTTTTGTCCTGCTCTCAGTTTTGTCTCCAGGAATACAAACTGAGTTTGAAATCCTGGCCCTTTTAATCATAATTGTAGCCCGCTCTATGTGGCCCCAAATGATGTGTTTTTCAAAGTACTTTCCTGGCCTACTGCTTTCCTTAGGGCACAGGGCGATGCATGGGTAATATCCCTGATTCCGGTAGCATTTCATCTAACACTTAATGGACACTATAATGATGATACTTCTCAGGAAATACGATGTGATTTTTGTAATTAAGCCATTTCTCCAGTTTAAGCATAGATTGACAAAAAATAAACCACTGAAGGACAGGATCGCTTGGATCTCCAAGAATGTTTTATCAGTCATATACCACATCATAGGGTAAGGAGTTATGCTGTTTGGTCGTGGATCTTAGTGGGTTCATAATGCAATACAGGCTTCCTATTAGGCACATTAAAATCAAAGGAGTTGAAGCTCTTTTTCATACTTAAGGGAAATTATGAGTATCTAAACAAGATAATAAACAGATAGTCCTTTTACAACAATACATACTCTGAAACAGAAGGCTCAGTCTAAGAAAGCGTATTTTACTAGGAGTCCCTTTTCAAAAAAATACTATTAATCCATCGCAGAACTAGGCAAGAAGTTTGTAACAGGAATCTTCTCATTCTTCTATCCCCCTGCTTCAGGGAAACAAACAAACAAACTCAAAAAAACCCAGCCCAGTAAAAAAGACAGATTCATCTAAATGCTATGTTCTGCTAGAAAGGAACAGAAAAAAGGAATGGGTGATGAAGCCTCAGATGACTGCTGTCAGTAAGAACTTACCTGCCAAGCAATTAGATCTTTGAGTCTATTCAGCTTTTCTTGGTCCTCTGGATGGTCTCTGATATATTCTTCTGTAAAAAAAGCCTTAGACAAAAAAAATTATTCAGCCCATCATTCTGACAAGTAAAGAAATCAGTCATTGCTCCACTGGCTCCAGCTGGTGACCAAACGAAGAGAGACACATACAGCTCCTTAACCAGATGTTGCTGGTCATCATTCCTTATTATATCAGTTGAGAACTGAAGTGCTCTTGTTTGTTAAAGGGCATTACGTCTTTATCCAACCCTTGTGAGTTTGAGATCCTTTCTATGACTAAATCCATTTATTGTTGATTTTATTAAGTTTACATTGAAACTGAAAAGGCACTAACTTGACGTATTGTGATTTACATTTGTAAATCATTTTATTCAAGTACATACCCTACCTGCTGACATTAGCCAGTGTTATATGATAAAGAAATTGAACTCTCCCACAGATAAGCTGAGTCAGAGATTGCAAACACACAGCCTTTTGCTGCCCAAAGCTTTCATCCCTCAGGTGACAGAAGAAGAATGTAGCTATTTGACCGTGACTGCCAAACTTTGAAACAAACGACACTATGTTAGTCCTAAAGTATAAGTCATACTCCTCCAGAATATGTCATGCTTACCAAATATGTATGCATATATCTCTGTGTGTGTGTGCGCGCGCGTGTGTGTATACATACACACATACATATATATATATGCCATCTTTTCAGCAGTATCCAAATCTGACATCCTGAGCCTACTGAGCATGGCACATGCTTCTCATCATGAAACGGCAGGCAGAAATAATAGAGTTCTACAGCTGTGGAGTAACCCCACATTCATTTTCATCTAAAACTTTAATAATTTAGAATTTAAATTTAAATGAATCTTTAACATTCTTGCTTGCTTTCCTGCCCCGTCTTCACAAGGTGGTCTTTGGGACAGATTTTCTACAGTTCAGTTCCTCAAGACATTCCATTTTCCAAGTATTGCCAGAACAGTTTCTATTTGTATTCCTACTTTTAAACAACAAAACCTGCTATGCAGAATAGCTGCAGTTACAGAGAAAACATGATGACAGTTTGATTGATAACCCACATCTAAATACTCCAGACCTACTCTAGGACAAAGTTAATTCACTCCAGACCAAGTCTTTTGATATCAGAGCACCTATTTAATTACAAAAGAAGTGTCTCATCTCACATGTACATGAAAACCCTCATAACTGCAACTAATATGAAGCTTCGGTTATTCCAGGTTAGATAGTTTCTGCTTTCAAAGACAGATATGACCAGGATGTGAGGCTTTCCTAATTGGTGGAGTTACGGCTTTCAAATTCCAAACCCATATTCCACTGCCACTTTGAACAAAGGACGACAGAGGATTATGAAATAACATATTTGAATATGTTCTTTGCATTGACTTAAAAGCTCTTACCTTCTCATATTTAGCGAAGCCACCCATAACAGCTGGATCAACAATTCCATTCAGAAGCATAGAAAGTGGATTAATGGGGAGGTTCTCATCACTCTGGTACTGGTTAATCATCATCAGAATTTTTTCATTTGTTGTGGACATAGTCTCAATAGCATTCTCTAAAGGACTAATTGTAGTCTATAAAGAAATAAAAGACTTCTAATGTTTATAAAGAGATAAAAAACGTCGTCTAAGTTTTATAAAAATTCATGTATTGAACAACATTTTTGCAATTCAGCAAACCATACAAAGTTGCTCAATTCTCTTAGGACTTGGTTCTGAAACTATAAATCAGATATAAGATATATTGATCCCACCAGCAGAAAGATAAAAGATAAGTAATAACAGTTTTGTATGTATAACAATAAGTAAATAACAATAGCCTTGTGTGATAAACCTGCAAACTATTTCGTACACGAAGATTCATAGAGATACATGTTTTATGGGTTCTTAGCATGTTAATACACACCTGTGACATGGAGACAACCTCAAACCATCGTAAAATTCCAGGAAGTTTGTATGCTGTAACAAATGATGTTCTCTCAATCCACATAGACTATTAAAAAAACATAGCAGGGAGAAAATGATACTTCAGGATTTAAACCTTAATCTTTTCTGCCTTTCTGAAACGTCAGAGTGAAAAGAATGTGGATGGAAAACACAGGTCCATGCTCTTTAATCTTCTACTATCTATTCCTGTTTTTACCATTACAGATTGAAAGACTGTGACTAAATGACCTACTCTCCACCTCTAACCAGATTATACTCCCTCCCTCCACTTTCAAAACTTGTTTCTGCAATTAAAAGCATTAATAGCCCTTTAACAACTTGCCAGCATTCTTACTTTTTTTCCCCTTTCTTTTTCCTCTTCTGAACAAGACAAGGTATTGGTGCTTTGAAATGCCACTAGTTCATTTACCCTACTGCTCCTTATTTTACCAGTATCAGCTCATTTAAACTGCCAGTACTGATATATATAATAATGAATGCAATGAAGACATACTCCAACTAGCCCAAATTTCCACCTCTCTGAAGTAAGTATGCACATTATCTGTAGTCATCAGCAATGAAAACATTAATGATCTAATTTTTGTGCAATAATTCCAAGGTGTATTCATAAATGGCTTCAAATCTCTCCGTTTTGCAAAGGAAGTCAATGTGCATCATCGGTCTTGATAACACAGTGCAAAGTTGGGAAGTCAGGTTATAGTTTACATCTGAAGCATTTAATTTCAGTGCAGGTAAGGAGCTCCTTACATGAAACTGTTGACACTATGATCAGCACACTCATAACTGAAGTTGTACATTTCCCATGAAGCTGCACTTTTCCCATCAGTATCCCAAGAGCATAGCTTTAGCCATAGAGATTAGATGGGACGGTTTTCATGACAAACTATAAAATACCAGATATCTGTAAAATTAAAATATACAAACTTACCACATTTTTTATGCCTGACTCTGAAAAATAAGTTATGGTGTTGCAGATTTCCTAGAATATTTGAACAGCAAAGACTATTTTCTCAGTATTACACCATTACGCATGGGAATAAAACTGGCACAGGTGGTATTCTAGTCTGTCAAGATTTCACAGGACTGATGAAAGCAGACAACACACACCTCTCATTGCCAAGCTGGCAGCTGACAAAACCACAAGAGGCAAATCATTTGATATTTATTTACTTGTCACTTTGTTTCATAATGAAAATGTGTACCAGAAAATGTTAATGCTTGACACAAGTGTGTTGAACATACTGAACTACACAATGTTTACCTGCGACTGAAACAGTGATGTATCACTGAGTAAGTGCACAAGAGTAGTACTGAAACACAGAAATCTCACATTTGTTCCCTTTTAACCATATCCTAACGTTAAGGTGTCTGTAATGAGTAATGTGAGACTCAGAAAGGATCTAGTTCAAAATTCAGTCATACCAGAACTGCCTCCAATGCCCTGTCTACTATTTACTTACAGCAAATTCATTTTCAGGGTCAACAGATCCTTTTCTGACTGGTCGCGAATAGTGGAACCGGTGTACATTGTTGGACTTATAAAAACTGAAAGATTTAGAAAAAAGACTCTTGTAAAATACAGAACTCAGAAATTTACGGATTTTGTTATCACAGTGAGATATTTCATTTTGAATCAGTTAAGTTTTTAATTAGAAGCAAATTTATTGCTCAGAAAAAAGATGTGCTGTACTGGAAACTCAGGAGACAGCTACTTTTTCTATAAATTAGGCTCAATATTTTACAAGTATTATGCTTCAGCTTGTGGCGGCATGTAATTCCCAGGTATAAAAATTCCAGAACTTCCAGATTCATGTTAAAACCTACAGAAGGTGGTCTAGAAAAGAATTTTACTATCCTGTATTCTTGCTGTGGCATAGACACTGCTTGCCTGCCCTATAATGGCATACAAGGCAGTACATTTTGTTAAATATAACTGACTGATCACGGTGGATGTATTCACCTGGACTGAAATGCAGGTGGTTGTTTTTTTTTATCCACAGTGCATGCCAAATCAGTTTAATCTCGTCTAACAATATCTCCTTGTGGCTTTTCGTTTTTGTTTTAAAAATGAATTAAATTTAAAGCCATGTTAAACAAAAGCTAGTTTTGCAGAGTTTAAAAAAAAAGTCTCAGAAATACCTTACAGTAAAATCAAGCCATGTTTTGGAGTCCTAGAGAGACAAATAAACGGACAGACCCTAAATAGTTGAGAAAAATTCTGGTATGTTAGTTCAGAGGAACCTCTGATTTCTGATCCAAACTACTAAGATTATCTTCATCAAGAAAGAAAGTGGAAAACACTGCCATAACACGTCAGATCACTTTATACAGGTCCATCTGAAAGGACAGATATTTTGAAGCTCTGTGACAGAAGAAATGCATTGCCATCAACTAATGTAACTAAAACCAGTAAAGTACACTCATAAAAATACACCCCTAAGATCAGAAGAAATTAGCAGTTTGGCTGAATTCTGCAGCTGAGACAAACAATTACAGCATCTCCCACATGATAAGACATTGTACTTTGTTGAGCACATCACTAAATACGACTGTTACGGCTTCAAAATGCAACTGGCACTACACTGAAATCTAATCCAGGACAAGAATTATAAGCTTTCAGATATTGATTTAAAAATGTATTGAAGTTGAAATTGGGACCACGCTTCACTATTTTTAATTATTTTTTTTAATACTGTAGTACAAGAACTGTCCTTGTATCTGCTTTACTGATTTTTGTGGATGTAGGGGGGGGTGACTTAATTTTCCACTTTGAATCAATTGCCATTTCAGTAAAGATTCTGTAGAGAAAGCTGCAGTGAAAGGTAACATCTAGTTTGAATCCAGCTGTGAATCAGTTAGAAATGATTCATCTCTGTGGATAAAATGAAGCCTTCTATCTTCAGTCACTTTCTAGAAACTAATAATACTAGTGCTGTTAAAGGGTTTCGTCTGAGCCTTCTTTAAGAGTGGAGGAATTGCAAAGCCTTTCTTGCATTAAAAGTGCAGGTGCCTCAGGCTATCTGGAGAAATTTTAACTGAAGGTGCCTGTTCTAACCATTTTCAGTCAGGGAGGCACAGTCATACCTTATCCTTTCACAAGGTACTGCCAAGAACAGAGAGAAAATACGGCCTGTCTTAACTGATGGTGCTTATACTTTTTGCTGTCCTTATGTTACAAGCTAACACATACTAACTTGACATTTTTCATTTATGTTTTAGTGACAAAGATCAGCTTTTTTTTTATTGACTATGTTTGCAACCATATAAATCATACATCGGTTTGAGTTGGAAGGGTCCTTAAAGATCACCTAGTTCCAACACCCCTGCAGAGGCATCTTTCACCAGCCCAGGCTGCTCAAAGCCCCATCCAGCCTGACCTTGAACATTTCCAGGGAGGGGGCATCCACAACCTCCCTGGGCAACCTGTGCCAGTGGCTCACCACCCCCACAGTAAAAAGTCTCTTCCTCGTAGCCAATCTAAATCTACCCTCTTTCAGCTTAAAAACATTGCCCCCAATCTTGTCGCTACACGCCTTGGTAAAAAGTATCTTTCCATCTTTCTTATAATCTCCCTTTATATATACATGGATTCGGAACCAAAAGTCTCTCAAGCCTGAAGTCAGCTGCGATGCCAGTAGTTGCTGTATGCAGTTTTGGCATCATCTGTTAGAACTGACCGTCACTTGTCATGCACGTAGTCATAACTCCTAATTAGGAGCATGTAATAAGTTCAACCTGTTCTACATTGGGCTGGGAGTTTGGTAATGTTAGCCAGATTGTTTTTGAAATACTCTGGAGAGTCCCTTTCCTCTATTCCTTTACAAAATCCTGACCATAGTACCAATGGAAACCATTTTGCCACTATGTGTTTTGCACTTGGCAAGTTAAGTCATAACAAGATTCTGTTGTACAACAGCCTGCAATTCAAGTGTTCTTATTCCATCAGTCCCCTCTAAGACCCCTCTCTCCACCACTTGTCTAAGCAGCTCAGTTGAAAACGCAGTAACTTGGACCCAAAGCATGGACTTCACCTCCTCACTCTGTAACCACATGCTGTTTCTTAAAGGGTAAATGGGCAGATAATTCATTCATTAAATTCCTAGGGAATAAATAAGTCAGTAAACTAAGACAATAAAGGCTCTAAAAATCATTGACAATTGACTGAGTTCACAAAATAACGGTTGTCAATTTAGGAATATGGACTAACTTCCGTTATATTATCTACTAGAGAAATTCACTTACTTTATAATTTGATCAGGTACTGCCTTATTTTTGAATCTAGGTTGCTCCTCCAGGACTGGCTGCACTGTAAAACACTGGATATCTGAAATCGTGAAAGTTAAGGGCACCTTATCAACTATCACTATGAAATGCTTTAGACTGCTGGGAAAATAAACAGATAAATAAAATTTTAAAAGACTTTTCCTGATGAACTATCGACAGGGTTCAGGGTTTCATTTGTGAAGCTTTCTTGGCCAAAAAAGGAAAAATCTGCCAGTAGTAACCAGTGAATATATGTGAATATTAATTTTGAACTGCTTGTTTTTATTATTTACTGCGCTTGAATATCTGTAGCTGAAATTATCACACTGCATAATTCATTAAATTTTAAAGCCAAGCCAACTTACAAAAATAATCAACAACATCTGATGTTATCAGTTTCACTATTTAACTTCAGGCATGCGTAATGTCATGATGCTTAGCAGTTCATCTTTGAAATCTGTAACCGAGCAGCCCTTTTACCTGAGATTTCCTTTTGCTATGGAAGTGTTACTTTTTAATCTGAACACTGTATTTGCAAGTAAATATATAATATTCTTACATATTTCAGTGCATCTTAAATTCATGCCCTCTGGTTAGATTCCATAGCTTTTTCTTAAGTGCATAAGCAGTGCATCTCCTGCCAGTTGCAAATAAATCTGCAAAAATTCTACTTTAAGAAACAACTGAAGCATATGATAAAATAAAAATTAGTTAAGACACAGGACAGACTTATGAGAGCTTGGCTCTCAAGCTTCATGTACTATTTTAGACAAGGCTGTAATACTGTCTGCTTTTGTCCCAACAGTGTGACAATAAAGCAGTATTCCTTTTCTCCTACAGCCGTTTCCATCAGAATAGACTCACAAGAGCATGTGAGGTGTTACAATATTACCTTGAAAATTAATAAAGGAAAATCAACATGTGAAGACAAAAAGTCTGATACAATGAGGTGATTGATCTCGTAGCTGCTCAGCCAATAATGGCTTAAATCAGAACATGAAGAAAAAAAGACAATGAATGCAAGCAACTGTTAGAGTACTTCTGAACAAAAATAATTTAGGGCATTTTAAAAGGTGGTTAACAATGTTTATGAGTTAATTTTCCTAATAAAACTTCTGAGAATGACATAAGGCATGTTTATGTTGCGAAGAAATACAGGTGATACCCAAATGTAGTGCCAGTCAGAACACTACTCAAGACAGACATGAATTTAGTGTCAAGACAACAGCTAGGAATGTGAGGTCATAGACATTTTGCTCCTTTTAACTTAGCCAATTCAACTGTTTGATACTGGTTTTGCCATTAGAAGAAAAGAAAGGTAAACTCTGTATGAACTTGAATGAATTTTCTTCACCAAAAGGGTTGTCAAGCACTGGAACAGGCTGCCCAGGGAAGTGGCTGAGTCACCATCCCTGGGGGTGTTTAACAGATGGGTAGATTTGGCACTTAGGGACATGGTTTAGTGGTGGACTTGGTTTATGGTCAGACTCAATCTTAAAGGGTCTTTTCCAACATAAATGATTCTATGATGACCGAGACAGACTTCTTAGAATTTTAAGAAAAACAGGAGCAAACATCTTAGGAACAAACCATAAAACACATGCAGGACATCAGTAAAACTGTAAACTGACCCGCCACTTTAACAAACTTTGATCTTTTTTAGAAAATGATTGTTCCCCACAGAGGAACTCTTGCTGACAACAAGGCTTCCCCAACCTGCCGTCAATCTCCCACATGTTCAAGGATACATTGACCAGGAGAGTTTTTCACATCCTCCCCAGGTGCTGAGGTGGTGTTCATCTTCTCTGCGCTGGGAAACTGACTCATCAGCTGGGCCTGGAAGTCTTCTCTCCTCTCATATTCCTTCCCACGATAAATGAATACTTTGTTCTGCAAGGAATAAACAGCTCTTTGCTTGGACTGTATGACACTGAGGCAGAAGTTCTAGATGCATCAGTACAAAGACACAATGCAGTCTCCAAATTTTGGAATGAGTGTTAGTGTTTTCTGAATGTTAATGAGCTATAAAGCAAGGCAGTCCTTTGACCGGCTGCTCGAATGCAGCACTGACTCTCCAGAGATGATACTCTATGCTGTTAAGACAGAATGAAGATAAACTGGCATCATCACTGCGGATGCTTCTGTAGAACAGAATTAAAAATCAGAGTAGGAGGCAAGGCAAGACCTGAAATTCCTTTTCTTCTTGTCTGTCAAACAAAAGGATTTGCTTTCAAATACATCCTAGGTCCACTTTCCACAGCTTTCTAATACCAATATACAGGTTTCCTCTGCCTGGTCCTTCTCCTTGATATTATGACATGTCCTCATTTACAATACAGTCTAAGCCCAGATGTGCTCATTTGTGGTTCAGTGTGCTTTATTTAACAGGATATTTCCATAACACCAGAAACAAAAGATAAATGCTTCCCTTGGCGTGATATTAGCACATATTTTCACTGTTTTTTCCAAAGTTTTTGAGGCAAATTTGACCTTTAAAACTGGGAA